AAGAAAGAAAGAAAGAAAGAAAGAAAGAAAGAAAGAAAGAAAGAAAGAAAGAAAGAAAGAAAGAAAGGCAAAAGCTCTGCCCCATCCCCCATGGACTTTCCTCCTCTTTATGGTTCTGGTCACCACAGAGAGAAGGAGAAGTGAGGCTATAACAACCACTAGGTACCTATTCCTTCCCATTATATGCTGCCAGAGCAGAATTTTTTCATCAATTACACAGAGTCACTGACTCATCAAATTCATATTGCAGTACCATGGCTGGACAATTTATGACAAGCTTTGGTTTTGAAATGATTGGCATGAAATACACCCTAGTATGGGATAAGAGTGAGACAAGGGAGTGCAAAACATATATATCAGTATAGCAATACATCTGGGACAAACAATCAGTAGGTATTAAAAACCAGAAAACTTTGATTGATGAAATGAAAAAACAGAACATTTCATGCATCCCAAAAGAAGCTCTCAGGACTTTGGGACACCAGATGAAAAAGTACAACTGCCCTGGTTAAACCAAGGCACATGGTCTCTTTATGATGGCCTATGCTCAAGGGTGAATTTCATCCTGTAAGAATATATATCAATTTACTAACTGACTATACTAATGCCTGTATCAAGACTCTAAGCGGGCCCAGTGCAAACTAGAGATTTGCAAAAATCTGAGCAGACTAAGACTCAGCCAAGTGTTTGTGCAGTTAATAAAATGTATTTTCTTTGCTCTTCTGATAAACTTGACTCCTGTGTCCTTGCTAAGCACTACACTTATGAGGCTACCACCAGGAACACTAACAAGAGTTAATATGTGGAAAATGCAGTGCTGTCTGTGTGTGACCAGAACAAATCACTGTAGGCTATCACTGGCATATTTTGGCACCAGGGAGGGGTTGCGAATGACATGAAGAAATTTCAAATGATGAATAAATATATAATTGTCAGGAAATCAGGATATTTATTTGACAGGCATGGGGGATATTGGAAAATCTGTTCAATCATACTGCTCCCAATTTAAACTAGATTATTGACCATAAACCTTTGACGGGAATCTGAGTTATATATTCCTGAATCCTTCATTGTGTGCAGTTTTTCAGCTGCTTAATATAACACGTTAGGGCTTAGTAACATTTATTGTTAAAATTGAATTAGTTATTTTATATCTGAGATACAAATATACTCTGAGAAATACTGTGACAGCAGACGCCTTCTCTTGTTATTCTGAGAGCTCACGCTATCAGGTCTTTGCTGAAATCGCTAGGATCCCTTAGAACTGTGGTTCTTAACTTTTTCCATATTGTGTCCACATTTTACAACACAAAAAAGTTTCAGGGACAACCCCTACACATACTCCCATCAATCCATAAAGAAAGAGAAGGTGGTTATGACCCTATTTAGATCTTTGTGTCACTCCCTTGGATTGGGGGGCAACTCCCGGGTTGAAAATCTATGCTGTAGAAAGAATACAGTATCAACTGAATTAACATTTATAGACTTTAGTTGACTAAACCAAGGCAAATCTGAGTTTTGCTTTTGAAAGCTTTCCCCCAGCCTAATTTTCTGAAAAGAAATTCATGAAGATGAAAGACTACATGTCTATGATGACGACTCTGCCTACTGAAGAAATCAAACAAGCCTGGTCTTGTGAGTCTCATGAGCCTGTCCCAGCTTTCTCTCTTTCTAGACTGAATTGTCATTGGCTTTGTAATGAAATGACCATTTACAAAGAAGAAAATACTTGCAAGAAAAAAAAAGAGCCTATGTTCAAATATGCCATTTACAAGCAAGCTTCAAAAGCAGCTGAGGGAAAGGAAAATAATAAGTGTAAGGTTCCCTGGCTCCAACCCTATCCAGAAAAATATATAGTTCAGGAACAAATATTTTGTGTGTGTGAAACAAGCCCTTTCAAGAATAATACATTTTGCATTAGGTGCTGTAGAATGGTGGCTTGATTTCTTTTATGTCAAGGAAATGTTTATACAACTCCAATAGTAACACACTACATAGATGACATTAAAGGAATGGGTAAAACAGACCTTTAGCAACTAACTGGGATGTTAACAAATGTTCTCTTTCCCCCATCAGTATAGCCTGAACAGCTGGAAGGGTATTTTAGGGGAAATAAAGCTTATAGATTCTTTCTAGACAAGGCAGCTTTGGTTTTGCCATCTGGTAGAATTTAGGTCAAATTCATTGTCGTCATTTGATGTGTTTAGACAATCTCAGTCATACTTCTCTGTTAGTATGTAAACAAACTTTTTAAAGCAGTGCACAATGATGCACATTCTTGCTTTAATATGTACTATGGCAAATGGCCGACACTATTGTGGTGGGTCCCATGTTTTTCCTTAGTGTGGTGGGTCAGGGCGTTGCCCCTTGCCCCTATTCTTGGGCGTTGATGGCTCCGCTATTGCTCTGTTGTGGGAGAGAAGGGGAGCGGGGAAGGGACCCGGGTCAGCCCCCTACTCTGGGTCCCAGCCCCTTCAGCTTCTCAGGATTCTTACCCTCTTTCCCCTTGGGCAGGGTTTGGCTCAGTCCGCCGCGCCTGGTGAGATCCCCTGCTCTGCTTGGGCAGGTTTTTGCTTCCCCT